AGAATCGAGAATGAGCTTGTCAAGCCAGGTCGGGAAAATTGATGAGAATGGCAGACAGGTTCAGAACAGAGTGGAAGTTTCAATGTTCAAATACTTCTTGTTGCTTCCAAATGATTGCATCTTTCCTTCGAAAATTAAATGCAACAAACTTCAAAGCATCGTGAAAACAAATTCGCAGCCGTGTGCAGCTGTCCTGTTTTTAAAGCATCGAAATTTCGTGAGTTTGCAATAGTTTGCGGCCTTAGCAAAGAGAACGACTGGAAATTGCTTTGGGCCCATTGATTCTGTGGCCAGATATCGAAAGAAGCTGTGGAAATCAATCGAAGGAAATCGTCCGCTTTTGAGGTTGAAACAACATAGTCCCCCCTTACTTTCATACATTTCCAGTGATTTTCAGAAACCACCTAGTCCCCCCTATATTTTATACATTTGATTTTGTCTCATTTTATCCAGGTTACTGCAGTAAATGAGCTGGTCCCCCCATGTTTCATACATTTTAAGATTTTTAACTTGCAATGAATTAATAGTTCCTAGTAGCAGCTCACCCCCCAGAGAAATACATTTTTGGGGGTTTCCCAAACATTGTTTAAGTGCTGGTGCAGAGCAGGTCCCCCCCATGTCTCATTCAAGCAAAAAAAATAGTGTACAACCTTCTTGACACCTCTTTCCGTGGCCGGGCTTGACCACCTGCTCCCCCCTCCTGTTCCTACATTCGATGGAAATGTATGAAGGGGGGGGTAGATACACACGGAAGGCAGGGGGGTAAAAACACTAATAACACCAACAACCCCCCTAGCAACAACAACGCCAGCAACACCAACATTAACAATACCAACAACACCAACATCACCAGCACCACCAACACCACCAACACCACAACCACCGCCAACCCCAACCACACCGCCGAAGCCTTTCCGTCGCTTTTATTTACTTCATGTTTTTAGAAAGAAAACGACCGCGTCGCTTTTACCAGATTCTACTTCATGTTTTTTTCCGTTGTCCTCTCCCCTTCCTTTTTTCTTCGATTCATTTCTTGCTCACCTACCTTTCGTGTTCCCCCTCTCAAGTGTCTTTTACGCATGTTGCACGTGAAAGTTCAAATTCCGATGTGTGGCCTTTCTGGATATTTGCGACCGCAATTCCATAAATCATGATCGCATATAATCGCTCTATAACTGACCTGGATCTGTACCCAAAAATTGTACCACCGAAACTGCGCTAGGTCGGACACAAGTCACTTGAGTGCATCAGACAAATTCACGTGATGTGTAGTTTCAATCCATCTCAGCACGATATTCGCAAAGTTTGGATCGGAGTTGAACAACTCCAAATTATACCGCTGTACGCCTGTACTGTACAGTACCCCCAAACCGTACCAACATACCGTACCACTCTACCGTACCGCGCCCCAAAACCATACCCCAAAACAGTCTCACTTACTGTATATCCCAGAAAAAGGAGGTATTTTTTCGTAGGGTCGGGAGTGTACCAATACTAAACACCCTACCGTACCACTGTACCGTACCGTACCCTAAAACCGTACTCCAAAACCGTACCCTGAAAACCGTACCCCGAAAACCGTTCCCCAGAACCGTACGCCGTACCCGTACCCCAAATAAGGATGTACAGTCGGGGTACAGTTTTGGGGGACACTCGCACAGTCCCGCTACGAAAAGATACCTCCTTATAAAGTTTTGAGGTACGGTACGGCTTTGGGATACGGTGTGGTACAGTGGTAAGGTTTTGTGGTATGGCGTGGTACGGTCGTATGGTTTTTGGGTGCGGTTTGGTACAATGGTAGGGTACGGTGGTACGGTTTTGGGGTATAGTCGGGTCGAATTGTTGGGGACAGATATAGCGCAGTTAGCATGGAGCGGCATTGATTCTTAGGATATTTTTTGAGCATTCAACACCTTTACTATGGTGTAGTTCACAAGACTGGGAATATGCAGGTACCATCAGGTACCCAAACGCAAAATAACACAAAGCCCCGTATGTATTAACATGTTTCAGACGCAAGGCAAATGCCTGGCGCAGAAATTCACCCAATAAAGCAACAAGGACACGAACACACACAGACACACAACTATACATACATACATACATACATATATATATATACAATATATATATATATATATGGAATAGCAACACATGAAACGCAAGTGAAGCACATCAAACACAAAGCGGGGGGCAAATTGAGCAATCTAGGGGTTGTGTGAGAACACATATGGATAACAGCACAGCCAAATGAAGTGTGCAGATGTGTGCAGCACAAAAGGGTAGACTGTTCATATTGAGACACACTTTAGATGCAAGGCACTGTATGTTATTTTTTGTTGGACACATATATTAAATACATGATATTAGTATATATTAGCGCATTTCTTCATGCAGGGACGCATGTATGTGATACTATATGGGCATCTAGACTGTACACAAAAAGCATTCAGACTTCAAGTTCATGAGAGGAGATTGCGTCGACAAGCGGGCTGAATCGTCTAAGGCTGTGTGTGTGAGGGGTTTTGACACTGTAGTATGTGATGGTAGTGGTAGTGGCCCTGGTGGTTCACCACTTGAAATAAAATATTTTCGATAGGTCACGGGGTCATGATCAAAGATGACTTCTGGATTGGTAAATGTTGGGCCCCATGCCGTTTCGTATAACTTATGCGGACGCGCACACTACTACTTTTCCTAGTATACAGTATGCCCAAGGTGGAAACCAGTAGCCCTAAACAAATGCCTCTGATCCCTCAAACAAAATGAATTTATCATGTTTATCTTTGTGTTTTCTTTTGGTTTTCAGAGCTAAAGCAGACTGGATCCGCGACCACAAATGCAAAGGGGCCACATCAGTTGTTGTGTTTTTTATTTGTGTTTGTTCGTCATTTATTTTGCATTTCTACTTGAGTTTGCTTGTGCGTTTGTTTGCTTTTTCTACTTTTGTGTAGTTGTGAATATTACTGACATACAAGATACAAAACTTGTCACAAACCATGACCTGGTTTGTATGGCCCACGGGTGAGCTGCGTCCATGTACGTCTGGCTACAGTAACAAATCCATGTCCTCTATGGCCCCCTCTATGGCCCTTGCTTGCGTGTGAGTGGATTTGTTGCATTTTTCTTGTCGAATCGTGGGTCTGCTTGTGATTTCGTTGGTGTGGTTACTTGTGTGTCATGTGACCAGAAATTGCAATTCCAAACTCCGAATATAATATACGAAACTAATTACTCGAGAATTTCCAATATGCAAGAGCTACACAACAAATTGCTTTTTCGCACAGACTGTTTAGAATCCTGGTGCCATGCATGCCGTCCCATGCATGCCACTTGCTGTGCTTTTGATGGCGTGCGTCCGTTTTTGTCATATTCAATTCGTTTCATTTCATTTGATTTCGTTTAGTGTTCTTTTATTTCCTTTCATGTCATTTATTTGTTTCGCATGCTTCCCAACAATGAATGGAAGAAATCCTGCACCAGCTTGGATGGTGGAAACCCTGTAAATAATGGGATAAAGCAGCTATCAACTGATCATCCACTGCAATCAGCTTGATCAAACTTGTAGAGTATTATATTCGGTTTTCAGTGTCACCCATGTTCTCCATTTTCCTGTTGTTGTTCTGGTGTTTTGTTGTTGCCTTGGTACTTTTATGTTCGATTGGTGCTTGGGGTTAGTTTTTATTGGGTTATTTTTTATTTGGTTAGTTTTTTTGTTGGTGTTGGGTTTGCTTTTTGGTTTTGTTTCTTGTTGATTTGCACTAAAGCATGCGGTTTTCTTATGTTTTCTTGTCATTGTTTGTGTGAATTTCTACACAGGCCTCAAAGGCCATCAGGGTAGCCCATTGAGCAAAACCAGTGCATCTAAATAAGATAAGATACATGATATTCTGGCGAGATGTGCAGTCGTATCCTGAAATCTTCACAACATAAAAATGATTTACAGCGCTTATTTTGTGAGTCTAGTAGTTTCCTCCGCCGGACACAGATTCGGTTTTTAGGGTTTAGAGCAAGAACTACTATTTCAGCAATGACAATAAGGTGTTTATGGTTGATGATCATGTTCAGTTAAAAGTCTACGATCATCAAGTTCTGCCGTGGTATACACCACCTTTTACATCTCAATGACTTCAATAATATATCAGCGTACCATATCATACCCCAATACAGTACCATCATATCGCACTATGTAACCAAAAACTTATCATATCTTATCATCATATCGTGCCATGACCCCAAAACCGTACCACTGAACCGTACCACTGCACCGTACCATGACCCCAAAACCGTACCATCGTACCGCACCATGACCTCAAAACCGTACCCTCCAACCGTACCCCGTTCCAAGCATCCAAATTCACACCTACTTTGAAAATTCATAAAGAATATGTTCCATCCTGGTTGACCATAGTATATGTATTTGTTATCTATGAATCAGTTGATTCATTTTTTAATTTAACACACACACATATAATATATTTATTTATGTACATAGAACGTGCACCGGTCCCATCCGATCACACGATACTGGAACCTAAATCCTTTCATCCCTATGAGAACACCAGAACCTAGGTAATACGACTTACAAATGTGTTGTGTTTCCTGCGAAATACTAAGGATTGTTGTCCACACCTCACCCTGCAATAGTTCGCTGGGCGCTCAACCGGCCCAAGTTTGAAGTTGGGGCGGGGCGAACTCTCTTGTGATTTGACACCTAGCCGCTTCCACATCCCAGACCCATCCCAGGTCAAGCGGCAGAAGCGCTCTTGGGCTCTGGTCTGATGGGTGGCCATCCAAGCACCTGGTTCTTTGGGCTCGAGGCGGGCCGCGATGTCTATTCAAAGTTTGCCTATTTTGTTCGGGCTGGAGAGCGGCGTGGGTGCAAAGAGGTGGGTTCCTCTGATCATTGCAGGAGAAAGATGCCGAACATGTACGATAGTTCGGTAGTTCAACTTTCGAAGAAACAACCAGAAGCGCTTCTACCTTTTGACCTTCTGCAGGCTGTGCCACAACATTTCCCACAGGTGCTGGAGGTCCATGGTTTTGGGCAATGCATGGCTCATATGATCATGCTAGTGTTCTGATGTTTTCTTCTTTGACAGCTTGCTTTTGCTGGCCGTTGCCGCTTCTTACCCAGCTTCACATTCTGTGAGTCGGATTATCAAAGCAAGTTTAGAAGTTTATACTTCCGTGATCTTCCGCGCAACGGACGTTTGAAAAGCATAGGATGTCAGCGCAAAGCGATGTCAGAGCAAAGGGATGTCAGAGCAAAGAGATGTCAGAGCAAAGAGATGTCCGAGCAAAGGAATGTCAGAGCAAAGGGATGTCAGAGGAAAGGGATGTCACGGCAAAGGGGTGTCAAAAGAGATGTCAAAGCAAAGGGGTGTCAAAGCAAAGGGATGTCAAAGCAAAGGGATGTCAGAGCAAAGGGATGTCAAAGCAAAGGACTGTCAAAGCGAAGGGATGTCAAAGCAAAGAGATCTCACAGCAAAGAGACCTCACAGCAAAGGGAAGTCTCGCACGAAAGCTTCGTTTTCACATCTTCCACTTTCAGATTTTAAGGGAAGTCTCGCACGAAAGCTTCGTTTTCACATCTTCCACTTTCAGATTTTTAAGGGATGTCTCGCAAAGAAAGCTTCGTTTTCACATCTTCCACTTTCAGATTTTAAGGGATGTCTCGCACGAAAGCTTCGTTTCACATCTTTCACCTTCACTTTTTGAGGAAGTCTTGCACGAAAGCTTCGTTTTCACATCTTCCACTTTCAGATCTTGAAGGAAGTCTCGCACGAAAGCTTCGTTTTCACATCTTCTACTTTCACTTTTTAAGGGAAGTCTCGCACGAAAGTTTCGTTTCACATCTTCCACTTTCACCGGAAGATGGATGGGGAAGCTTGTCCGGCGGGCGGTTGCGGAACATGTTCGTTTGTACCGGGATCATTCTCAGATCGGCAAAGAAGTGGAAGGAACTGCCAGTTCAGGCCTCATTTTCACAACTTGAACTTTCAAAATTTGAAGGAAGTCTCGCGCGAAAGCTTCCTTTTCACATCTGCCACTTTCACTTTTTGAGGGAAGTCTCGCACGAAAGCTTCGCTTCCGAATCTTCAAGTTTCAGATTTTGAAGGGATGTCTCGCACGAAAGCTTCGTTTTCACATCTTCCACTTTCAGATTTTTAAGGGAAGTCTCGCACGAAAGCTTCGATTTCACATCTTTCACCTTCAGATCTTGAAGGAAGTCTCGCACGAAATGCGTTATTGAGCGCTATTGAAAGTTAGCAAGCTGATCCCGCTGACCCATGTTGATCGCGCTGATCCGCCTTCACCCGCGGTGGCAAGAATTTCGCGTTTTCTCGCTTTCGATCAGCGCGGATCAACGCGGATCAGCGCAGATCAGCGCGGATCAGCGCGGATCAGTGCGGATCAGCGCGGATCTCCCATTTTTTGAACCAATTAAGCTGGTTCTGACCAATTTTCCATGTTAATCTCTATTTCTCGATGGTTTTCATCGATTTCTCAATGGTTTTCATCGATTTATTAATGGTTTTCATCGATTTCTCGATGTTTGTCATTGATTTCCAGGTTTTTACCGAGTTTGCCATGTAATTACCCAGAAGTTCCGTTCTTCGTTAATTAAGATTAAGCAAGGTTAGCCTTAAATTATTTAAGCAAGGTTAGCTTAATTAAGGATAAGCAAGGTTGCTTAAATTAAGCAAGGTTAAATTTGGATGGTGATATGTTTTTTTTTTGTGTTTCTTGGCCGGACTATTTGGATTTATGTTGGGTGATCATAATTACTTTGTTGAGGTTATAGTAGTTGAGTTGCTAGCGTGTTTCATGGAAAAGATGGAGTGGATGTGGGGGAGAGTTTTCGAAATAGAGTCATGGAATCTTTTGGAGTGTGTACCATATTAAAGTTTGTTTCTTTGGAAACGAGGAACATGAGAAAGTTAATGACTTTCTGCTAGGATGGAAGCATTGGAAAATAGTGATTGGATATGCGTGTATATTGGCTCGTATCACGGAAAGAGGTGTACCCTTTCCGGCCGCAAAGAGGCTTGCCCTTTGCGGCGGTGAAGAGGCTTGCCCTTTGCCTAGGTGAAGAGTTTTGCCCTTTGTGTAGGGGAAGGGCATTGCCATTTAGATTTATTAGGTCTAATCTTTTCTTAGATGGTGTTCCCAAACAAAATACTTTCTGATTTTGATGTATTTTTGTTTTTTTTTTGTATCTTATCTTTCCTTTTCCTACACATTTCTCTGTTTGCGTTAAAAGTTCGATTTTGTTCCTTTTCTTTCATGTTTAAAAAACAGATGAAAAAATAGGTTTTATAATGTTTAAAAATCTTGTTTAAAAAAATAAATAAATAAATAAATTTTATTTTTAAAAAAAAACATTTTTTTTTTAAAAAAAGTATTTTTTTAAAAAATATTCTTACTATATATATATAACGATTAAAAAAATGAAAAAATAAAAATTTAAAAATTTTAAAATTTTCAATGTTTTCCTTTTTTGTCTCTAAGCAGAAAAATAAATGTGTTTGTTGCAACAGTTCAAAGAAGGATTGCATGCACTTCGTCTGCCATTGCAGCCGTTTTTGCCATTTGGTTTCTTTGCGTTTGGCGGCTTGTCCCCTTCATTTGATAGAGGCGTACCCTATCCGTATCAGCCGTGCCATGTTTGACGAAATTTTGTCTTTCTTACCCTTAGCCTCCTTGTATCAGATGCGAAGCATCAATAGAGCAACGTGCCGCACCATTGAGTACATGGACGAATTTGTCAACAAATATTCCGAAGCTTTGTTGCGCTTAAATAAAGCACCGTCGCCCATGATCGAAATCGAAGAAGATCTAGATCATCTAGATCTTGAAGCTGAAGCAGTTCTACAAAAAGAACAAGCAGCCGAAGAGGAACGAAGAGCACGAGCCCGTAGCCGCTCGAGAAAAAGACAAGAGAAGAACCATGACGAATTCCTGCGACGACGAAATGGACGCTATAAAAGCTTTTCCGAGTCTTCTTACTCCTAGAGGCATTGCTCTAGACATGTCGCGGCTTGCCCCGACCAAACCTCAATCACAGACGACAGGCTTCAAAACAAAAATAAGCCGCTGATCAAAAAAAAGCAAAAAAAAATAACCGAGGTAAAAAAAACAAAAACCTTGCTTAAATTTAAGCAAGGATGCTTAAATAAGCTAACCTTGCTTAAAAAACGCAACCTCTCTTAATAAAAGTCGTTAATTAAATACTTTTACCTTAATTAACAAAGGTTTTCTCCTAATCAACGTAAAAGTCGTTAATTAAGGAAGGTTAATAAGCAAGGTTAGCTTAAATAAGCAAGGTTTCATTAATTAACGAAGAACGGAACTTCTGGGTATGTGTTTTTATCGATTGTTCGGTGGTTCTTACTGTTTTTCTTTAGGCTCAATCGATTTGCCATGATGGAGTTTCTTGAATTTCCACGGTTTTTAGCTAAAATGGAGCAGCGCGGAGGTCCACCGCTTTTAATTTTTTTAGCTGTTTGCCTGCGTTTCTAGCGTTTCAGCCATATTGGCTTACCCTTTCGCAACTACTTCCCACTGAGCAAAAGCAATATACAGAGTCTAAACTATTTCGTGTGTCTGCGTTTCCCGAAAAATGGTTTTGGCACGAATCATTTGAAGAAGGATAGAATACGCTGCTGCTGCACTTGGGGCTCAATCATGCCAAGAAACTTTCACCAGCAATCGGATGGACATGTTTCATTTGTTGCCAGCATCTTTGATTGCTTAATCAAAAATCATCACTGTATTTTTTTGGGGGGGTCCAAGTTGGAACCGCATTAAGAATTATCAACGGCTCCTCCGGGACTAAAGCATTTCCTTGACGCTCGGAATTTCCTGCTTCAAATGTTTTTTTTGCATGTTTTTGCATTTCTGAAGGAAAGTGTTCAAGACACACTGAAGGGCGGACAAACCGTGCGGATGCAGAAAAAAAACGTAAGAAGATATGTTGGTGTGGATGTCAAATACGTATAAATATAGTTTTTGCGTACCCAAATTTGCACCTGAGTGTCGCCTCGACATTTAGGGTGAAGGGTTTGACATATTTTTGTATGTTTGGTGCTTCAGGGCTCAAAGTGCTGGTATGCCCTCTTGGAGTAGCCGGTGTAACAAGTGCAAAGTAGGGACAGCGGCTGAAGGTGACACGTGGTGTGTGGGGTGCTTTGGTCTCGAGGTCATGCAGAGCTTGTTGGGACAACGCTGGCTGCAGCCTGCAGCCGGGCGTCCGACAGGTGGCCGAGGAGACCGTTCTGAACACCGCCCGCCGCGAAAAGGGAAAAAAGGCAAGGGCTAAAACAAAGCGAAAGGTGCGGGCGACTACAAACCAGAAAGCGACACAAAGCCGAAGCCTGATGAAGGCTAGAAGAGAGGAGATTGAAGAAGAGAAGGGCGCTGGATGAAATTGGTGACACCCGTGCGTCTTCTCAGACGCTTGAAAGCCAAGCGATGGGCACAAGCCCGGTCCATGAGGGAGGCACGAAGTTGCTTCAGAAAGGAGGAGTGAATTCAGGTACAGGAGGGCCAGAGTCTCTTGAGGAGACCTTGTTAAACTGTCCGGATTGATGCGGGTTCCGTTGAGGGTTTGGTATGGGAGTCTCTGGAGACCTGCACTGAGCTAATTTAGTCGTGCTGCTGAGGGGACGCTGGGTGGTGTGCCGCCGGCCGCTGGCAGTTCTTACCTTGCGGTGGGCCTCACATCATCGGAGTGGCTCGTGCAGGTCACTGAATGCAAAGGGCTGGCAGAGATTGGCATTGCACTGGCATGGGGGTATCACGCTGGTTTCTTAGATTTGAAGAGGAACCGTGCCGGACCTTCACAGCCGGCGGGTGCGAGCCATCGCATGCGCGGGCTGTTCCCCCTGCCAGTTGAAGTGCCCTGTAGTGACTGTAGCGCCTCTTTTTTGACAGGCCCGTCGCTTTTGGACCGGGGCTCAACCTTTTTTTCCATTGCTGCCAGAGAATGCTGGCTAGCTGTAGTGAGTGCGGCATTGGATGCGTTCTATGGCTGTGAACTCTCACCCCCCGGCATCCGTGCTGGAAAAGTGCATAGCGCGGTTAGGGAGAACTTGCTGTCGGATAGGTTTCTTAAGGGGGACAAGTTGTTCGACCTTTGTTTTAAAGAGGTGGCTGCTGAAGTCAAGGAGAAAAGGATTAGCTATTCTGGAGAAGAGATTTCACAACCTCACCCTTTGAGCGTTGACCAAATCATCCAGAGCTGGCCCCCGCTAGGTCATGGTGGCTCCGTTCCTCTTCTACCTTTTGCGGTGGGCAGCACGAAGCACCAGTTGACCAACCCGCTGGAATCTCTATTCAAAAAGTCCGCGCGGGGGAGTGCGCCATGTCAGGCAAAGGTGCACATCAAGGGGGGCCAGGCTCTGGATGTTTTCAAGCTTCTTTGTGCTAGGGGCATTACACAGTGGGTCCCTGCCAAGCTGGCTTTTCCTGGTAGCAGAGGGATTTATTTGAATTGCCTTTTTCTTTTTGGGGCCGAAAAACCTGGGAAAATGATGCTGCGGGGGAGCCGGTTTTGAGAGTTATTATGAACTTTATCCCCATAAATGGGGTCTTTGAAGTCATCAAGGGCGATATTAGCTTTTTACCGTCGCCTACCTCCTGGCTACCCATCTGCGCAGAGATGCAATCAGCGTTTTACCTTATTGCCCTGCCCCAGGTTGGGAACCTTTCATGTGTTTCAACTTTTCAGAAATGGGAAACACATTGGGCTTGACCCCAGCGTGGAATACCGGCCTTCTTGCCGAGTCCTGCCCATGGGCTGGGCCAGTAGCGTAGGGATAATGCAACAGGTATCCCGACAAGTACTGTTGATGAAGGGCCTTCCAAAGTCGTTGGAAACACAGAAGGTGGATGGCATCCCACGCTGGTTTACTCAAGCCGTGCGGGTTCAAGCCCTGAAAGGGCGTGGTGGCAAGTGTATTTGGATAAGGAGGGGTATTTTTTTTTGCATTTTTTTTTTGGGGTCCTGGCTCCTAGTGGCTTCTGTGGCTTCTGTGGCTTCTACAGTCCTGGCTCCTGGTGGCTCCGGTGGCTCCTGGTGGCTCCTGGTGGCTTCTGTGGCTCCTGGTGGCTCCTGGTGGCTTCTGCGGCTTCTGTGGCTTCTATGGCTTCCATGGCTCCTGGCTCCTAGAGCTCCTCGCTCCTATGGCTCATGTATCATCTATCGATCAATCTATCAGTGAAGCATGTTCACCAGGTGCATGTTGTGCATTAGATACACCTTGAGTATCATCTATCTATCTATCTATCTATCGATCTATCTATCCATCCAACGATCTATCTATCTATCTGTCTATCTATCTGTCTATCTATCTATATCTGTCTATCTATCTATCTATCTAACTATCTATCTGTCTATCTATCTAACTATCTATCTGTCTATCTATCTATGTAACTATCGAACTATCTATCTACCTGATTCTATCTATATCTATCTATATTTATCTGTATCTATCTATTTCTATCTATTTCTATCTATATCTATCTATATCTATCTATATCTATCTATATCTATCTATATCTATCTATATCTATCTATATCTATCTATATCTACGTATCTATATCTATCTATGCCTATCTATATCTGTATCTATATCTACATCTACGGCTGTATCTATATACTCCCCCTCCTTTTACCGTAGCGCATTTTTTTTATTCCACGTTAACTAAAGTGACAATTCGGAGGTTTACTTCCATGTTAGTTGCAATGGGGGGGGGGTAAACTGCAAATTTGTGTTCTTTGGATCTGAGCCCTTTGTTTTGGGGGGCTAGTTCTTTTTGCCACGAGTTCCCCGGGAATCCTGGGCATTTGGTGATTAACGTAGTAATTTTGATAAATTTTTGATTTTTTCAAGATAAAGCTGGGAATGCCTCCATTTTTTAACAACCAACGATTGGAACGGATAACTTACATAGAAATTTGCTACTTGAAGTAGGATGTGGGAAGTGCCATGTTAGCGAGCACCAATTTGGCACCATTGATTTCGAAAGGTTGCATCCTCAATCGCTCGGACATGACAGGGGTGAGAAGATAGATGCAAAGAAGAAAAAAATGATGTGGCGGTCAGTCTGGGGGTTTTAGGGATCGCCCTAGAAGGATGTATTCAACATGAGGGGAGAACATGTTAACATAGAAGTTGCCAACCTGATGTCTGGACCCTCAAGTTACTTCCACGTAAGGGTTTTTAGTCTCAGTTTTCACACTTCCACGATGAATATGTTACTGACATATCTGATGAGCTACTTCCATGTAAGAGATTCACGGTCAGTTTTTCTGCATTTGCTGGCCCGGTAGCCCAGTTTCACTTTTTCCCCAGGAATTGGACGTAAACGACTTCCGTGTAAACCGACAGGTTTTTCCATCCTGACTTCCACGGTAAAATGACCCGGTGTATCTATATATCTATTTAATTATCTATATATCTATATATCTATATAATTATCTGTAAATCTATATCTCTATATCTCTATATATCTATATATATCTATCTATCTATCTATCTATCTATCTATCTATCTATCTATCTATCTATCTATCTATCTAAAAGGTTTGCATTATCATCGGGATGATATTCAAACCCCAAGCAAACCCTGAACCAAACCTTATATAGAGAGATCTTAAACCAACTCGATGATAACATCAAATGAAACTATTGTGCATCGTCGTGCCTTAACCTACATTCCACATGTTTCCAAGGTGCATGTCGTGTAGTATATCCACCTTGAGTATCACATTCAACCCAGCACCTTGCATGTGAAAATACATGTTTCCAATCTGCTTTGGGGGGGGAGGCGCTGCGCCCTCCCCCCCAATCCCCCCCTCCCGCTTTTTTTTAAGTTCAAACTTGCACACATTTCAATACACTAGTTTGGTTAGACTCTATATATATATACATATGTATATATATATTTATACATTTTATATATATTGTATATATATATAATATATATATTGTATATATATACATATGGTTGCTTATATACACAGCTTTCATCCCAAAATAAACTGTAAATAATCATGTGCATGCATATGCGTCCACATAAGTATAGTTATTTGTATGTACATTTTGTATCCCTAAATAACCCCTAATCCAACCCTAAACAAACCCTAAACAGACCCTAAACCAGCCCTAAAGAAACCTTAAGACCAACCCTAAATAGACCTTAAACAAATCTAGAATAAACCATAAAGCAACCCTAAATAATCCCTAAAGCCAAACCCTGCAGATATATTAATTACACTTGTAAATACATTGATCTACATATGCATATAAACATGATTAGTTTGCACATCATGTATCTCCAAAAATCAATGAACACTTCAGAAAAAACAATGAAGACAATGTAAAAATCAATGAAAACTTTGGAACAATGAATGAAAACCAGTAAAAAATGAATGAACACCATACAAAAATTGAAGAAAAACATAGAAAATTCCATTGACAAATGGAAGAAAACCACGGAACAATCGAAGAAGACCATAGAGCAATTGAAGAAAACCATGGGAAAAATTGAAGAATACTATGGAAAATTGACGAAAACCATGGAAAAATCCATGAACATCTTGGAAAATTCCATGAACATCATGGAAAAACCAATGAATTCATGGAAAACTCGACAAGCACCATGGAAAAAATCATGAAACCATTGGAAAAATGATGAACAGTGCGAATGAGAGATTTTAGCTACAAAATGCAGCAAAGGAGAAATTTTAGCTGCAAAAACCAAGGAAGGGAGCCTGGAGGACAAAAAAAAAATGCCCCCCGCCAAAAAAAAATGCCAACTTACTTTCAGGTGAGTCCAGCTCGCATCAAAGATCAAGGGTTACGTCTTCAACTAGACGCCGTGCAAGCATGGACAGAGGCTGGAATTTTGATTCGATTGCAAAGGACAAGCAGGTCCTAAATGACACGGAGGTGGTGGAGCTTGGTGTGAGGTTTGACGGCATCAATGGCCTGAATCTTGGCTTCACTTCACATCATGAGCAGCGAAAGGTGGAGCAAGAAAGAAGTCCTAGGTTGTTCTTGGCCGCTGGATCTTTGTCCTACAACTCCGGCGTGCGGCCATGGGTTGTTTGTTAAGGTCATGGGAGACACTGGAAGTGTGGCACCCGAGTGTTCAACAGCGGAAAATCCTGTATAGGGAGTTGAGCTTGCTGATATGCTTGAGTCCTATCTTGCAAGCGGACCTTACTATGGAATATGATGGTGAAGTCACTTGTTCAGACGCATCAGAATCGGGTGGTGCTGTGGCCAAGGCAGAGAGTCTCACCTGGTCTTGCCTTTCATTTGTGGGACGACAGCTGCATCAAGAGTTGGAGCCCGTGAGTTGCCCGATTTTGGTTATCTCCTGTTTTAACGGGATAGGCGGAAGTTTCCGCATCTACGATGTACTAGGAGTTCGCGTGATGGGGAAGGTGACCAGTGACAACTGTGGAGAAGCAAACCGCGTAACGCGTACTACGTGGCCTGAAGTTGAGGAATATCATGATAATGTAGGCTCCTGATTAGTATCGGCCCCCTGCCAAACAATTTTTGGATCTTCTTTAATTTGTTTTTTTTAAGTGTGAGGTATTGAATAATTTTTGATCAATTGATTTTGATAGATTCAATTTACGTTCAATTGATTTCAGTTGATTTTCAATTGATTTCAATTTACGTTCAATTGATTTTCAACTGATGTCAACTTACTTTCAATTGATTTTCAATTGAATTCAACTTAGTTTGAATTTATTTTCAATTGATTTCAACTTACTTTCAATTGGCATCCCATAGTAATCCCATAGAAAAATCATGCAAATCCCATAGGAATTCAACAGAAACCCATAGAAAGATCATAGAAACAACATGGAAATAGCATAGGAACAACAAAGAAATCCCATAAGAATCCCATAGAATTCCTTCAGGAATCCCATAGTAATCCCATAGAACTATCATAGAAACATCATGGAACTCTCATAGGAATGCCATAGGAATCCCATAGTAATTCCAAAGAAATCCCATAGAAACATCAAAGAAATACCATATAAAATCCCTACGAGAACCCCATGTAAATCCCATAAGAATACCATAGAATTCCCATAGCATCCGTTCTGAAATCCCATAGAAATCCCCTAGGCATATCATAGAAACATCATGGAAATTCCAAAGAAACCTGATGGAAACCCCATCGGATTCCCAAAGAAATCTATCATAGAAATGCCATAGAAATCCCTTTAAATCTCATTAGGAATCTCATAGAAATATCATAGGAAACCAAAAGAAATATCATGGAATACCATAGGAAGTCAACAGAAACCCCATAGAAAGACCATAGAAAAAATATGGAAATAGCATAGGAACCACAAAGAAACCCCATAAGAATCCCATAAAATTCCCTCAGACATCCCATAGTAATCCCATAGTAATCCCATCGAAATATCATAGAATCACCATGGGACTCCCATAGGAATGCCATGGGAATCCCATAGGAACCCCCAAAGAAATCTCATAGAAACCCAATGTAAATCCCATAAGAACACCATAGAATTCCCATAGCACCCTTTCAGAAATCAGAAAGTAATCTCATAGAAATACCATAGAAACATCAGGAATGCCATAGCAACCCCATAGAAGCCAAATATATACTAATACCATGGAAATATCATAGAAATCCAAATAGAAATTTCATGGAAATCCCACAGAAATCCCATAGACAAATCATAGAAATACCATAGAGATCACATAGAAATCTGGTAGAAACGCATGCAAATCCCATAGACATCCCTATGAAATCCCAGAGAAATTCCAAAGAACCACCATGGACACCCCATAGAAATCACACAGGAATCCAATAGAAATCCCATAAAGAAAAATCATGGAAATCACAAAGAAACATAGAAATACCATGGAAATCCCATAGGAATTCAATAAAACTCCCATAGACACCCTTCTGAACCCCCAGAGGAACCCCATAGAAATACCATCGGCATCCCATAGAAATCCAATAGTAGCCCCAAAGAAATGTCATAGAAATACCATAGAAATACCATGGACACCCCACAGGAATCCAATAGAAATCCCAGAGACATATCATAGAACCACCATAGAAATTCCAAAGAAACTTGATGGAAACCCCAAAGAATTCCCAAAGAAATCTATCATAGAAATGCCACAGAAATCCTGTTAAATCCCTTAGGAACCTCATAGAAATACCATAGATATCCAAAAGAAATATCATGGACATCCCAAAGAAAAGCCGTAGAAATATCATAGAAATACAACAGAAACCCCATAGGAATGCAAAGGATATCCCATAGGCATTCTTTTGAAACCCCATAGGAATCCCACAAAACTACCATAGACACACCTTTAGAAACACCAAAGGAGATCATAGAAACACCATAGAAATTACATAGAATTCCCATAGAGATATTATAAAAACCTCATAGAAACACCATAGATACCTAGGAGAGGATGCCAGGAGAATTGAGCTAAGTAAGAGACAAAAGCTATAGCAAAGGAAAGGAGAAAATGATTTTGTAAAAAAAAAGTAAACATTTCAAAAAAAAAAGCTGGACAAAATAGAGGGCCCACACAACAAACATACTATTGAAGATCATGGTCATTCATGTATTTTTTTTTGGCTGGCTGAAGTTCACCCTTTGGAAAAAACTTTTGATCCCAAGAAGAATGGAGCTAAATTAAATAAAAGAAAAAAGCTTTAGCAAAGGAAAAAGGTAAAAGGAATGATTGAAAAAATCACCTCAGACAGCAGCTGGACACAATAGAGGGCCCCCACAACAAACATACTATTGAGGATCAGAGTTGCTCATGGACTACCCCCTTGAAAAATTGTATGAATGCTGTTTTTAATTGGGTTTTAATAGGGCATCATATATTTTGGGAAATTATATAGACATTTTGAGAATTCCACAAGAATGGAGCTAAGGAAGTAAACAAGAGAAAAGTATTAGCAAAGGAAAGGAGAAGGAACGGAGGGAATGATTTTGGACAGTTTTCACCTCAGACAGCAGCTGGACACAATAGAGGACCCCCACAACAAACATCCTATGGAGGATCAGGGTTGCTCATGGACTTCCCCCTTGAAAAATTGTTTGAATGCTGTTTTTATTGTGTTTTAGTAAGGCATCATATATTTTCTGAAATTTGACATTTCTGAGACTGAGAATCCAAAAGAAAGGAGCTAAGAAAGTAAAAAAGAGAACAGTATTAGCAGCAAAGGAAAGGAGAGAATGATTTTGGACAATTTTCACCTCAGACAACAGCTGGACACAATAGAGGACCCCCACAACAAACATACTATGGAGGATCAGAGTTGCTCATGGACTACCCCCTTGAAAAAATGTATGAATGCTGTTTTTAATTGGTTTTTAATAAGGCATCCAATATTTTGGGCAATTAGACATTTTGAGAATTCCAAAAGAATGGAGCTAAGAAAGTAAACAAGAGAAAAGTATTAGCAAAGGAAAGGCAAAGGAAAGGAGAGAATGATTTTGAAAGTTTTCACCTCAGACCACAGCTGGACACAATAGAGGACCCCCACAACAAACATACTATTGAGGATCAGGATTGCTCATGGGCTACCCATCTGCGCAAAGATGCAATCAGCGTTTTACCTTTTTGCCCTGCCCCAGGGAACCTTTCATGTGTTTCAACTTTTCAGAAATGGGAAATACATTGGGCTTGACCTCGGCGTGGAATACCGGCCTTCTTGCCGAGTCCTGCCCATGGGCTGGGCCAGTAGCGTAGGGATAATGCAACAGGTATCCCGACAAGTACTGTTGATGAAGGGCCTTCCAAAGTCGTTGGAAATACAGAAGGTGGATGGCATCCCCCGCTGGTTTACTCAAGCCGTGCGGGGTTCAAGCCCTGAAAGGGCGTGGTGGCAAGTGTATTTGGATAATTTTCTTTCAGGTGAGTCCAGCTCGAACCCCATCAAAGATCAAGGGTTATGTCTTCAACTAGACGCCATGCAAGCATGGACAGAGGCTGGAATTTTGACTGCAAAGGACAAGCAAGTCCTAAATGAGACGGAGGTGGTGGAGCTTGGTGTGAGGTTTGACGGCATCAATGGCCTGAATCTTGGCTTCACTTCACATTATGAGCAGCGAAAGGTGGAGCAAGAAAGAAGTCCTAGGTCGTTCTTGGCCGCTGGATCTTTATCCTACAACTCCGGCGTGCGGCCTTGGTTGTTTGTTAAGGTCATGGGAGACACTGGAAGTGTGGCACCCGAGTGTTCAACAGCGGAAAATCCTGTATAGGGAGTTGAGCTTGCTGATATGCTTGAGTCCTATCTTGCAAGCGGACCTTACTATGGAATATGATGGTGAAGTCACTTGTTCAGACGCATCAGAATCGGGTGGCGCTGTGGCCAAGGCAGAGAGTCTCACCTGGTCTTGCCTTTCATTTGTGGGACGACAGCTGCATCAAGAGTTGGAGCCCGTGAGTTGCCCGATTTTGGTTATCTCCTGTTTTAACGGGATAGGCGGAAGTTTCCGCATCTACGATGTACTAGGAGTTCGCGTGATGGGGAAGGTGACCATTGAACAACTGTGGAGAAGCAAGCCGCGTGACGCGTACTACGTGGCCAGAAGTTGAGGAATATCCTGATAATGTAGGCTCTTGATTAGTATCGGCCCCCCCACCAAACAATGTTTGGATCCTCTTTAATTTGGATCTTTTTCTGTGTCAGGTACTGAATAGTTTTTGATCAATTGATTTTGATAGATTCAATTTACGTTCAATTGATTTCAATTGATTTTCAACTGAATTCAAGTGATTCTCAATTGATTTTCAATTGATTTCAATTTTCAATTGATTTTCAATTGATTTCAATTTACTTTCAACAGATTTCATTTTTGTCAATCAATTGCAATTGATTTCAATTGATTTTCCATTGATTTGCATTTACTTTCAAGTGATTTCAATTTACTTTCAGCTGATTTCAATTTACGTTCAATTGATTTTCAATTGATTTCAATTTACGTCCAAATGAGTTTTAATTGATGTCAACTTACTTCCAATTGATTTTCAATTGATTTCAATTTAGTTTGAATTTATTTTCAATTGATTTCAACTTACTTTCAAGTGACATCCCATAGTAATCCCATAGAAAAATCATGCAAATCAATGCAAATCCCATAGGAATTCAACAGAAACCCATAGAAAGATCATAGAAACAACATGGAAATAGCATAGGAACAACAAAGAAATCCCATAAGAATCCCATAGAATTCCTTCAGGAATCCCATAGTAATCCCATAGAACTATCATAGAAACATCATGGAACTCTCATAGGAATGCCATAGGAATCCCATAGTAATTCCAAAGAAATCCCATAGAAACATCATAGAAATACCATATAAAATCTCTACGGGAACCCCATGTAAATCCCATAAGAATACCATAGAATTCCCATAGCATCCGTTCTGAAATCCCATAGAAATCCCCTAGGCATATCATAGAAACATCATGGAAATCCCATAGGAATCCAGTGGAAATCCCATAGGAATCCAATGGAAATCCCATAGACACCCTTTTGAAACCCCAGAGAAATCCCATAGAAATACCATCGACATCCCATAGAAATCCAATAGTAGCCCCAAAGAAATGTCATAGAAATACCATGGAAATCCCACAGGAATCCAATAGAAATCCCATAGACATATCATAGAACCACCATAGAAATTCCAAAGAAACCTGATGGAAACCCCAAAGAATTCCCAAAGAAATCTATCATAGAAATGCCATAGAAATCCCTTGAAATCTCATTAGGAATCTCATAGAAATATCATAGGAGACCAAAAGAAATATCATGGAAATACCATAGGAATCCAAAAGAAACCCCAGGAAATAGCATAGGAACCACAAAGAAACCCCATAAGAACATAAAATTCACTCAGACATCCTATAGTAATCTCATCGAAATATCATAGAATCATCATGGAACTCCCATAGGAATGCCATAGGAACCCCATAGGAATCCCAAAGAAATCCCATAGAAACATCATAGAAATACCATGGAAATCTCATAGAACCCCATGTAAATCCCATGAGAATACCATAGAATTCCCGTAGCACCCGCTCAGAAATCACATAGTAATCTCATAGAAATATCATAGAAACAGCAGGAATGCCATAGCAATTCCATAGAAATCCAATAGTAGTACCATAGACATCCAAAAAGAAATGTCATGGAATCCCACCGAAATCCCAGAGAAATCCCATAGAAAAATCATAGAAATACCATAGAGATCACATAGAAATCTGGTAGAAATCCAATAGAAACCCCATTGACACCCCTATGAAATCCCAAAGGATTCCAAAGAACCACCATGGACATCCCATAGACATCACACAGGAATCCAATAGAAATCCCACAGTAATCCCATAAAGAAATATCATGGAAATCACAAAGAAGTCCCATAGAAATATCATGGAAATCCCATAGGAATTCAATAAAACTCCCATAGACACCCTTCTGAACCCCCAGAGGAACCCCATAGAAATACCATCGGCATCCCATAGAAATCCAATAGTAGCCCCAAAGAAATGTCATAGAAATACCATAGAAATACCATGGAAATCCCACAGGAATCCAATAGAAATCCCATAGACATATCATAGAACCACCATAGAAATTCCAAAGAAACTTGATGGAAACCCCAAAGAATTCCCAAAGAAATCTATCATAGAAATGCCACAGAAATCCTGTTAAATCCCATAGGAATCTCATAGAAATACCATAGATATCCGAAAGAAATATCATGGACATCCCAAAGAAACCGCAGAAACCCCATAGAAATGCAAAGGATATCCCACAGACATTCTTTTGAAACCCCATAGGAACCCACAGAACTACCATAGACACACCTTTAGAAACACCATAGAAGATCATAGAAACACCATAGAAATTACATAGAATTCCCATAGAAATATTTCAAAAACTTCATAGAAACACCATAGAAATCAAGGACAGGATGCCAGGAGAATTGAACTAAGTAAGAGACAAAAGCTATAGCAAAGGAACGGAGAAAATTATTTTGTAAAAAAGAAATCAAACATTTCAAAACAAAAGCTGGACACAATAGAGGACCCACATAACAAACATACTGTTGAAGATCATGGTCATTCATGTTTTTTTTGCTGGCTGAAGTTCATCCTTCGGAAAAACCTTTTATTTTTGATTCCAACAAGAATGGAGCTACATAAATGAAAAAAGCTTTAGCAAAATAAGAAGGTAAAAGGAATGATTGAACAATTTCACCTCAGACAACAGCTGGACACAATAGAGGACCCCCACAACAAACATACTATGGAGGATCAGAGTTGCTCATGGACTACCCCCTTGAAAAAATGTATGAATGCTGTTTTTAATTGGTTTTTAATAAGGCATCCAATATTTTGGGCAATTAGACATTTTGAGATTTCCAAAAGAATGGAGCTAAGAAAGTAAACAAGAGAAAAGTAATAGCAAAGGAAAGGAGAAGGAAAGGAGAGAATGATTTTGGACAATTTTCACCTCAGACAACAGCTGGACACAATAGAGGACCCCCACAACAAACATACTATTGAGGATCAGGGTTGCTCATGGGCTACCCCCTTGAAAAATTGTTTGAGTGTTGTTTTTAAATTAGGTTTCAAGAAGGCATCCTATATATTTAATTAATTATTGATGATGGGTTATTAAAATCAATTTTAAAAAATATTTCTTCAGACAACAGCTGGACACAATAGAGGACCCCCACAACAAGCATATTTTTCAGGATCAATATTGCTCATGAAAAAAACTGAAAAATAAAACCAGCGAATGAAAAATCCTGTTTTAATTCATGACAAAATGAAAATTGAAAAAATAACAATAAAAACTGAAAATTGAATTAAAACAATGAAAAAATAGAAAGCAGAACAATGACAATAACAAAAAAAATGAAAAATTGAAATAAAAAAACTGAGCAAAACAGTTTTAAACAACAAAACTAACAAATGAAAAAATAACTAAAAAAATGAAAAATTACCCAAACAACTGTAAACAATAGCGACCCCCCAATCATTCCACACACAGATCCACAATTCTATTGTTTTTCCCGAGCGCGCCTGCGAAGGGTTCCTCGTAAAAGAGCAGCCGTTGTAATACATCTTCACACCCGCGCATCTGCTGATCTACATCTTCACACCTTCACATCTGCTGATCTACATCTTCACACCCTCACACCTGCAGATCTACATCTTCACACCCTCACATCTGCAGATCTACATCTTCACACCTTCACATCTGCAGATCTACATCCTCGCACCTTCACACCTGCTGATCTACATCTTCACAACTTCACATCTGCTGATCTACATCTTCACACCCTCACATCTGCAGATCTACATCTTCACACCTTCACACCTGCAGATCTACATCTTCAGACCTTCACATCTTCTCTCGCTCTTCTTTCTATCTCTCTCTTAAGGCGGGGGGCGGTGCCGCCGGAGCGCCACGAAACGCAACCCTTTCGCACGAAATGGACGTTGGACGTCAAAAACGAGGTAAATTTGCGATTTTAGTTAGTCCATCGCAACCCTTTCCACGAAATGGACGGTGGACGTCAAAAACTGAGGTAAAATTGCGATTTTGAGGTGTCCATCGCAACCCTTTCGCACGAAGTGGACGTTGGACGTCAAAAACTGAGGTAAAATTGCGATTTTGAGGTGTCAACCCTTACACGCGAAATGGAGGTTCGACGTCAAAAACTGAGGTGAAAATGCGATTTTACTTGGCCCATCGCAACCCTTTCGCACGAAATGGACGTTGGACGTCAAAAACTGAAGTAAAATTGCGATTTCACGGGTCCGGTCTCTGTGTGTGAAAGTGTTGGTGTGTAAAAGCTTCTGTGTGTAAAAGCCTCTGTGCGTGAAAAGTGTTTGAGTGTAAAAGCGTCTGTGTGTGAAAGTTTCTGTGTGTAAAAGTGTCTGTGTGTAAAAGGGTCTGTGTGTAAAAGGTTCTGTATGTAAAAGCGTTTGTGTGTAAAAGCAACTGTGTGTAAAGGAGTCTGTGTGTAAAAGCCTCTGTGTGTAAAAGCTTCTGTGTGTAAAAGCTTCTGTGTGTAAAAGCTTCTGTGTGTAAGAGTGTCCGTGTGTAAAATGGTCTGGGTGTAAAAGTGTCTGTGTGTAAAAGCGTCTGTGTGTAAAGGTGTCTGTGTGTAAAAGCGTCTGTGTGTAAAGGAGTCTGTGTGTAAAAGCCTCTGTGTGTAAAAGCTTCTGTGTGTAAAAGCTTCTGTGTGTAAAAGCTTCTGTGTGTAAAAGTGTCTCTGTGTAAGCGTCTGTGTGTAAAAGCGTCTGTGTGTAAAAGCATCTGTGTGTAAAAGGTTGTAAAAGTCTCTGTGTGTAAAAGGGTCTGTGTGTAAAAGCGTCTGTGTGTAAAAGCTTCTGTGTGTAAAAGCCTCTGTGTGAATGCGTCTGCGTGTAAAAGCGTCTGTGTGTAAAAGCGTTTGTGTGTGAAAGCGTGTGTTCATGTGTAAAAGCATCTGCGTGTAAAAGCGTCTGTGTGTAAAAGCGTCTGTGTGTAAAAGCGTCTGTCTGTAAAAGTGTCTGCGTGTAACAGTGTCTGTGTGTAAAGCCGCCTGTGTGTAAAAGCTTATGTGTGTAAAAATATCTTGTGTCTGTGTGTAAAGGCGTCCGTGTGTAAAAGCCTATGTGTGTAAAAGTGTCTAGTGTCTGTGTGTGAATGCGTCTGCGTGTAAAAGCTTCTGTGTAAACGCTTCTGTGTGTAAAAGCGTCTGTGTGTAAATGGGTCTGTGTGTAACAGCTTCTGTGCAAAAATGCATCTTTAATGTATTTATGTATTGTCTTGTAATATAGTGACATATAGTGTCTCAATACTAACAACAGAAGACCCTGCTCTCTCTCTCTCTCTCTCTCTCTCTCTCGCTCTCTCTCACCCGCTCCCTCTTTCTCTCTCTCTCTCTCCGTCTCCCTCCCTCTCTCTCTATCCTTGTCTCTCTGTGGTTGCAAGTCACGTGTCATATGATGCCCTTTACCAAGCAGCTCAGTGCATGTGCATGGGTTGTCACATGCAGCTTCTTCTTAATCAATCTTACTTTTCACAACTTATCCCTCCATAGCTCATATAGAATTCACCAACCATTCGCAGACTATTTTTTTTACGACTACCATTATCAGAGCTGTTTGAAAAACGTTTTTTTCGCTCTCGGGCCAACCGTCGTCTAGTTTACACAATAGCGACCCCTCGTGCTAATCAGGAGCCAACATTATCAACGATATCACCAGAAATGATATCTTCCGCTGGGCCAACGACTACAACCGTGGGGAGGAAGTGCACATTTGGGCCGGATTTCCTTGCGTTCATTTATCATCAGTTAGGGCGTTCCGGCAAAACTTACAGGGGGCTGGATCTAATCTATTTTGGAAGCTTCTGGAACTGATTGAATGGGTCAAGGAGATCTTTGGGGTATTTTGCAAAGAAAAGTTCTGCATTGAGAACGTGGCTTCGATGGATGAGGATGCTAGAAGAGAAATTTCTGCACACCTGGCAGTTATGCCCATCAAACTGGATAGATTGCATGCCCTTCTCACAAGACCACGCATGGCTTGGTGTTCGGAAGAGCTCTATGAGATGGAAGGGTTGCAGCTATGGACGGAAAGTGTCTACGTCAGGGCTTACGTATCTGGTGGATCAGTTGACTGTCATCAGTGGATCAGACCGGGGTGGAGCTGGCCCGGTGAAGCAAGAGGGGTCAAACTACCATACTTTCGCCACATTTTCGGTCCGCATGCTTGCTCATATGTGGAGCGAAGCATCAGAGTCAGGGTATTCTGACTGGGCACCCATGAGGCGGTCAAATCGCCATATTGCTACGTATTGTAGCAAGTGGAAGTCGTCTCAGCACATCGGCGTTCCTGACACAAGGCGAGGTCAAATGACTACCAAGCCAATGTTCAACCTCTTGCAGAGCACGTGTATCCCAAGGGACCGAGGCAGCAGGGAGGTAGGCCTATAGAAGCTCTGAGTTCGGTCGGCACTGCTCCAAGGCCACGGTCACCTTGGATTCCTTCAAATACTGTTTGAGGAATTGTCGACCTTCATGAAAGCAATAAAGAGGCAACAGCCTCCACCGGTGCCTGCTGGCTTGCGCCGTGTAACACCAGAAATGATTGAACGTTGGACCGCGGATAGCTCTAAGTTCCCTCCTTATCAGTACGCTGATAAGTTTCTGTTGGTGCATCCGTCGCAACCGCGCATGTTGCTGGATAGCTCAGAGAGGGAGCTTTTACTGGGCTTCGGTGCAGGGCACGCTGCAAGTTGTATGAGCGCTTCATCTGAAGAAGAGCCTTGAGCGCTACGAGGATGTGAGGCGCACGTTGTGCGGTGACTCATTTGACTCATTTGCAATGCTTTCCTTCGCGGTGGTGGGAGCCACCCTTTGTGCGGACATGGTCCCGCGCATGTCGCCAGGGGCTATTCTGCGCCGCCTCGGCCTAGCACCTGGGGCAAGCGCTCACCCCCGGGTTCAGATATCTCTTGAGAGACCCACTGCCTGCTAAGCATCTGGAAGAGCAAACCGATACCAAAACCTATGATTTGTGGTGCAGGAAGGGTGGCGGAACAGGGTGGCAGGACATTAAGGCTACTGATTTGTGGTGCAGGAAGGGTGGCGGAACAGGGTGGCAGGACATTAAGGCTATTGATTTGTGGTGCAGGAAGGGTGGCGGAACAGGGTGGCAGGACATTAAGGCTACTGATTTGTGGTGCAGGAAGGGTGGCGGAACAGGGTGGCAGGACATTAAGGCTATTGATTTGTGGTGCAGGAAGGGTGGCGGAACAGGGTGGCAGGACATTAAGGCTATTGATTTGTGGTGCAGGAAGGGTGGCGGAACAGGGTGGCAGGACATTAAGGCTATTGATTTGTGGTGCAGGAAGGGTGGCGGAACAGGGATGAGGGGGGATGAAAACTATTGATTTTTGGTGCCTGACAGGTGGCTGAAGAGGGTATTAGGAGGGCACCAAGGCTATTGATTTGAGGTATTTTAAGGGGCAGGACGGGTGGCAGAAAAGAGGAGCAAGACATCAAGCCGACAGCGCATGAGATGTAGCACCCATCGGCGTCAAGGAAAAACTTTGTTCCTTGACATTTTTTTTAAAAAAATAGCACAATAATACTCTCCATGCTTGGTGCTATTCCATGTTCAAATCTCACTTGCCCTGGGCTTCTATGGAAGATCTCCGAACTAATGCCCGCTGATGGGTGTTGATCCGCGCTGATCCGTGCTGATCGGCGCTGATCCGCACTGATCCGCGCTTATTAATCGCTGATCCGCTCCGCGCTGATCCGCGCTGGACCGCGCAGAGTCGCGCTGATCCACGCTGATCCGCGCTAATCCGCGCTGATCCGCGCTGATCCGCGCTGATCCACGCTGGTCTGCGCTGGTCCGCGCTGGTCCGCGCTGATCCACGCTGATCTGTGCGCTGATCCGCACTGGCCAGCGCTGGTCCGCGCTGGTCCGCGCTGATCCGCGCTGGTCCGCGCTGGTCCGCGCTGGTCCGCGCTGATCTGCGCTGATCCACGCTGGTCTGCGCTGGTCCACGCTGGTCCGCGCTGATCCACGCTGATCTGTGCGCTGATCCGCACTGGCCAGCGCTGGTCCGCGCTGGTCCGCGCTGATCCGCGCTGGTCCGCGCTGATCCGCGCTGGTCCGCGCTGGTCCGCGCTGGTCCGCGCTGATCTGCGCTGATCCGTGCTGATCCGCGCTGATCCGTGCTGGTCCGCGCTGGTCCGCGCTGATCCGCGCTGATCCGCGCTGATCCGCGCTGATCCGCGCTGATCCGCGCTGATCCGCGCTGGCCCGCGCTGGCCCGCGCTGATCCGCGCTGATCTGCGCTGATCGGCGCTGGTCCGCGCTGGTTCGCGCTGGTCGGCGCTGATCCGCGCTGGCCCGCGCTGATCCGCGCTGATCTGCGCTGATCGGCGCTGGTCCGCGCTGGTGCGCGCTGGTCGGCGCTGATCCGCGCTGATCCGCGCTGATCCGCGCTGATCCGCGCTGATCCTGCTGATCTGCGCTGATCCGCGTTGATCCGCGCTGATCCGCGCTGATCCGCGGTGCGCCGCGCTGATCCGCGCTAAATTCTTGCGTACTCAGCTCTTGCTCTAGATCAGCGCAGTTCAGCACGGATCAGCGCGGATCAGCGCGGATCAGCGCGGATCAACGCGGATCAGCGCGGATCAGCGCGGATCTCCAATGTTTGGAAGCAGTCAAGCTGGCTCGGACCAATTTTCATGTCAAACTCGATTTTTCCTTGTTTTTTCTCGATTTCTTGATCGTTTTCATGGATTTCTCTTGGTTTTCAGCAAGAATCGATGGTTTTCATTGATTTTTCGATGGTTTTCATTGATTTCGAACTTTTTATGGAGTTTTCCATGTATATATGGTTTTATAGGTTATTCGATGGTTTTTACCGATTTTCTTTATTCTCAATCGATTTTCCATGACCGAGTATCTTGAACTTCCACAGATTTTGTCCAACATGGATCAGCGCAAAGGTCCGCAGTTTGTCCCCAACAGCGTAAGCTGACGGGGTCTTCAGCCCAGAATAGCTCCGGTGCACTGGTGCAGGCACCGGGTCAAGTTCAACGAGGTTCCGGAGAAGGTTCCGAAGGTTCCCGAGAAGGTCTAGGATTTGGTGCAGAGACAGGTCAGGTTCAACAGGGTTCCGGAAATTCCAGAGAAGGTTCCAGGAAGCCCGGGTGCAAAGCCAAGTCAGGTTCAACAGGTTCAACAGGGTTCCGGAGAAGGTTCCGGAGAAGCTCTTGGGAAGCCTTGGTGCAAAGCCAAGTCAGGTTCAACGGGTCCCGGAGAAGGTTGCTGAGAAGGTCCCGGAGAAGGTTTTGGGAATCTTTTGTGCAGGGCCAGATCAGGTTTCGGAGAAGGTTCCGGAGAAGGTCTGGGAGGCTTTGGTGCAGAGCCAGGTCACGTGCAACAGGGTTCCGGAGAAGGTTCCGGAGAAGGTGTGGGAGGCTTTGGTGCAGAGCCAGGTTAGGTTCAACAAGGTTCCGGAGAATGTTCCGGAGAAGGTTCCGGGAGGCTTTGGTGCAGAGCCAGGTCAGGTTCAACGGGTCCCGGAGCAGGTTGCAGAGAAGGTCCCGGAGAAGGTTTGGGGAATCTTTGGTGCAGGGCCAGGTCAGGTTCCAACAGGTTCAAAGGGTTTCCAGCGCTTGGTTTCGCAGCACGCTTCAGAAAGATGTGTAAAAATAAAACGTTGCGGCTGTTAGGGATACCACCGAAGCTTATTTTCTTTATAGTTGCTTGCCTGCATTTCCTTTTTTTTTAGCCGCATTTGTATAGTAGTTTAATTGTACCATTTAAGCAATTCCACTGACGAGAAAAGTATCTAGAACCCAAACTATTTCGTGTGTCTCCGTTTCCCGGAAACGGGTTTTGGCACGAATAATTTGAAGAAGGAGCGAGTACGCTGAAGTTGCTGCACTTGGGGTTCAATGACGCGAAGAAAATTTCACCAGCAATCGGGCAGACATGTTTGATTTGTGGCCAGCATCTTTAATTGCATAATCAAAACCCGTCACTGTAAAGTTGTTTTCTTTAATTTTGTCCAAGTTGGGACTGCATTAAGAATTATCAACGGCTTCTCCGGGACCAAAGCATATCCTTGACGCTCGGATTCTCCTGCTTCAAATCCATGTTGCAAATTTTACATTTCTGAAGGAAAGTGTTCAAGACACAGTGACGGGCAGGCAAACCGTGCGGAGGCTGAAAAAAACACATGAAAAACGTAAACAAAATATTGGTGCGGGCGTCACACATCAAAAAACTTAAGGAAAGATAATTTTTGCGCACCCAAAGTTGCACCAATAATTGGTGAACCCCGCCACCCTCCCTGCCACCCTCCCCGGCCACCCTCCTAGCACCGCTTTTTGCAGGGATGTTTAGCAGCCACTGGTCCTACCAAGATATCTCTCACTCGCTGGCTGGCCTATGGTGGAGATTCCGATTTTCCTGCCTCCTCGGAGTTATTGGTGCGGCAGCTTTGCTTAACGGTCCTCAAGGGCATTGCTCTGTTCGAGCTTGGTGGTGGCAGTGGAAACATCTTTTTAAAACTAAGTGGGCTCACCATTCCCACATTAACCTGCTGGAAATGAAAATGATCCTCCAAGCTATACTTTGGAAGGCGAGAAAGGTTTCTTCAATATATAAAATAAAAGATGGCTTCACTTGGAAGACAGCATGGTTTGCCTATTTATTTTTTCAAAAGGTCGCACGTCAAGTCATTTGCTTCAAAACACATGTAACAAAATTGGTGCTGTTCAGCTGGCCATGGGCTCACTGCTGTTACATGCACACGTTGGGTCGGCGGAGAGCCCAACTGATGCCGCCTCGTGGGATTGATGCCCCGGGCAGGCCAAAGGGTACTGCTGGCTGGCAAAACCCCTGAGGAAAGGAGACAGAACCGCAAAGGTTACCGTTTGAGGGATTTTACTATCACATCCAAAACCAGGCAGCGCTATGAACAGGCAGTTGTGAGACTCCTTGCTTTCCTTGAGGACAGAAAGGTTTGAATCACCTAGATGATACCCTGGTGTGATTGGATTGAGGCACAATGGGCAAGGGGTGGGTCGGTTAACTTTATTGCGGATGCTTTATCGGGGTTGCACTTTTACTGGCCGAAATTGCGCGGTAAATTGCGCACTGCTTGGCGCCTATTTAAACAGTGGCGCCGTGTTGAGGCGCCCAGCCGCGCACCACCCATAACGGTGGTGCTGGTTCGGGCTATCGTATGCAGAGCTGTGGAGCGGGAGGAGCTGGACTTTGCAGTCCTTATTGCTCTCGGGTTCCACGCTCTGCTGAGAACAGGCGAATTGCTAGCCTTGCGTTTTTGTGACCTTGATATTGATCTCAGGTGTGGCGTTGTTTCACTTCAAGCTAGCAAAGGTGGCCTTCGTACAGGTTCAAAAGAGGCCTTTGCTGTACGAGATGCATGTACGCTAAACCTGTTAGATACCCTTTGGATTTGCCGAAGGCATTTTCCTGGACAAAAGCTTTGGAGCCATTCGGCACAAGCCTTTCGGCAGCAATTGCAAAGTTATTTGCACTACTTCAGGCTTTGTCACATGGGCTTCAAGCCTTATTCATTGAGAAGAGGAGGAGCTACCCTTTTATTACAACAAGGGGTGCCTTTAGAGGCGATTCTTTTGCGTGGACGCTGGAAATCTGTGGATGTGGCCCGCCTCTATCTAGAGGACGGCCTCGCGCAGCTTCCTTGCTTGCGTATACCACCTAATGATCTTGTTCGAATCCAATTGTATGCTTTCCAATCATCTTCAAC